AAAACACAACGCTCTACACGTACACACGGCAAGGAAGTATGTAGTCTGTGCAACACTGCAGTTGTTTCATGCTGAGCTTTAAAGTAGCCTTTCAACCTCAATGTGATTGTTATTTGGCTTTTGAGGGTTGTGTATTTTTCTTACTGTGAAAAATACAGTAAGAAAAATAAAATACACAATGCTTCACAATTTCCCCATCGTGCGTGTGACTGCTACTCTCAAGGTCGTCTGTTTAAGATGCACCTTTTCTTTTTTAAATGAATAATTTCGCAGATACAAGGGCGAATTTCAAGTTGGCTCAAGCTCCACCTCTTAAAAAATGTTCTTGCAAATTAGTTCCTAATATTCAAAGTAATCCAACTAACAACTGAAGTAGACTCTTACAAAATTGTGCAATTCATGTGGACAATGAATGAATAGTAGAAATATATATAAATATTTTCTTTGAAGGTAAATCAGAAGTTGAATGGCAGCATTGATGCTTAAGATGAGTTGCACTATAATCTCTGTGCATTATGAAAGCCAATGACTTCATGTTGTATATCATGAAAACCATCATCACGCCATTGCTGATATGGATGGTAAGGCTAATTGCAACACAAACAAGTCACTTTTAGCTGCTGTTTTAATTTTTGCTTTGTTGGCTGAATCTGCTGAATTTACTCATGAAAGTGGCCACTTTTATGGCATGCACACTTCATTTCACATTTTCCCTTGGTGCAAAATTAGAAAAATAACAATAGCAAAAAGGACAAAAACTCAGTTTTTCTGAAAATAGAGTTTCCGTCAGATTCATTAAAATCTGCAAAGCTTGTGACTTTATGGTAATTTGCAACTTTCACTGATTGGCATCACATGAGATAGGTTAAAACTTGATTTCATTATAATAAAAAGGCAGACATTAGAAAAGTGCATGCTCTGCAGAGCCAGTCAAAATGAGGGACATTGTCTCAAGATGCTGAACAGGGGTAAATGGACTGGTTCTTATACTCTATCTGAACACTCAAAGAGCTTTAAAAGAATAGAAATGCTGCGCACTGTCACGGAAGGAGGTCACCTACTCCTGGGCAAGATGATATCATCTCAGTTTCCTGGTGCAAACAATTTAATCAGATTGGATAGTGTTGGGAAATAAGGGTATAGCCTTTTTCTTACAACATGTGGTTTAGTTATCATCGCCATCATCGCACTGCCTGCTTTCGTTTCTGTCCGCACAGCACCCTCAGCTGGTATTGACGTAAAAGTGCAGCAGATCTCAGGCGGCATGGTGGAGCTCACCTGGAGTCCTGTACCTGTGGAGCTTCTTCGTGGTTTCCTCCGTAACTACACTCTGTACTACAGAACCAGAGACCAGCCCGCAAGGAGTGAGTCCCTGACACACATATGAAGACACACCTTTACTTTATACACAGCCACACAAAAGTGATCAGCAACAAGATGAAAATGGCCTTACACAATATCTGATTTTTGTTTCATTTCACTCCAACAAGCTGCAATTGTCTTTCAGTTTAACATCCAGCATCTACTTGGCAAACATAGATTTACTGATAATGGCAGACTTTTTCATGAACTTGGCACATTTTTAGTGACATTTCCAAACTATAATAGTAAAAAATGTTGTGAAATATAACAG